CACCGGTCCCTCTCTGCCAGGGCTGGCAGATCCCAGATCGAGCCCCTGCTGCTTTAATCCCCAACGATCCCGTCTGGAACATGCAGGGCAGAGCGGCCGGGAGCCACAGGCATCACCGCAGACGAAGAATATCCCTTTGTGTTCGCAGCCTGACCTATTTTCCCATTTCTCCGTCTGCTCCACATTCTCATTCACTCCCCGACCTCCAGGTAGTTTTTGCTCCAGCTTCTCAAACCCTCCTTGGTGCTCCGTTGTCCCCAAAAGCCTGAGCCACGGCAGGCAGGGGCGTCCCCAGCAAGGGAGCCGTGGGGTTGTGGATCTGCCCACAGGAAGGGCCGAGCATGAGATGCTCCGTGAGATGGTTTTCAGACATGGGTTTGCCAAGACCACGGTTCTGGTCTGTGGTGGCTCCACAGTTCCCCTGGGAAGGACCCAGGTGGACTTCCCCGGCAGTCAGAGCAGACCACCGTGGGCTCCCACACACCAGGCACACCCAAAGCTGTCACCTCCCCAGGGCGACATGGGTGGGAACTTACACAGTGTCACGAGCCGGAGGCAGGAACTGCCCATTTCAGCGCCCGCTGGTGCCCAGCCGCTCCGGCCGCAGGCGGAGGTCCCCGGTCCTGGGGAGCGGGGAAGGACAGGGTCCTCATCCTGAAACCCTGGGAGAGGCAAAGCTGAGACCCTGCAAGGGAACTCCCCTCCACCTGGCTTCAAGAAGGACAAAATTTTAAGGTTCCCATTAGATGCTACATGTCCAGGGCAAGATCAAGGCCACGAGATGGAAACCATCACCCGTGCCGTGTCTCCTGCTCACACCTGGGCTCAGACCCCAGGCACCGAAACCTCAGATGGGACCAGCCCTTCGGGGAAATCCTCCTTCTGCTAATCATGGGGGGCCGCAGAAAGACGAAATGACGCATCTCCCCATACGCCCCTTCCCTACGGAACAAGTGGCCATGGCACGGCAGCTCCACCCCCAAAGGATTAGGCAGCAGAAGGACCCAAGCACAGACGAAGGGAAAGAAGCTGCAGTTGGACCTGAAGCTGAACTTCGTTAGGCAAGCTGCATGTTGTTAATATGCTCCCACTCCCGCTAAGTCCTGGCATCTCTCCGGCATCCAGACAGACCGAGTCGGAGCAGAGGGCTGGCTCCCATCTCGCCCGGCATGGGGATCACGTGCCAGGAGGACAGGAGAAAGCTACTGCCATCAGCACCCGTCTTTGATAAGAAGGACGGGGGAGATTCAGGCAGCCAGGAGCCAAGACAGTAGGTTATTTGTGCAGGGCTCAAAGATTCGCTGAGCACATGGACAGCGCGACCCTCCTTTGGATGTTTTTCAAACTCAGGCCAAGACAGCTGCTGATCCCGGGCACATACGATGCTGGCGTGACCGCGCTACGATTATCTCCACATAACAACAGGCACTGTTGCCAAAACCCAGAGGACGCAGAGGGATTAAGAGCTCTCCTGCCCCAGGAGAGGCTCTCAGGCCAGCTGAGCCTGCCTCCGACAGCGCCGCATGGACAGCGGTGGCACCCAGCCCTCGGCACTCGCCCCGTTCGGGTGGTAAAGCCAATTCCTTATCCACTTTGAGCTCTGCAGAGACATGTCTGGAGCCTGGATCTGGACCAATACTGCTTAACGCCTTTGTTAACAGGGCGGTCTGCTACCTCAGGTGGACCTCGGCAGGCTGCAGGGAAGCCCCCCGAAGTTCAACAGAGGCAAATACAAAGCTCTGCACCCCAGTGATTAGAAAGCAGCTTTGCTGGAAAAGTTCTGCAGCAAGCCCGGTGGATGAGTTGAAGAGGAGTCAGCAGCACCAGAGGTGGCCGAGCACCTTCTGGGCAGTGCAAGACCACAGCCAGCAGGTCCAGGGAAGGGATCCCACCCTCCGCTTGGCACCTGCCAGAGCACCCCTGGGACCTGGCATCCAGTTTGGGCTCCCCGGGACCAGAAAGACACAGAGACACAGGAGTGAGTCCAGAAAGACAGCCAAAGGCTGGAGCACGTGGCAAGATGTACGAGGGGAAGCCAGGGCTTCTCAGGGAGATCTTGCCACCTCCAGCCACCTACCGAGAGGTTACAGGGAAGACGGAGCCAGACTTTTCTCAAAGCTTTGCATCGGTAGGACAAGAAGCAGTGGACAAGCTGCAGCAAGGGAACTTCTGCTTAGATCTCCAACGTTCACCCCAAGGGTGGTGACACACTGAACCTGGGGGCAGAGAGGGTGCAGGACAGAGATCCTGCACCCAAATCTCCACTGGATGTGGCCCTGAGCGACCCGGTCTAACAGATCTGCTGCTCTTGGCAGGGGCTTGGCTAGAGACCTCCCAAGGCCTCTTCCCCCTTCATCACGCTGCCACCAGGTGGGTGAGAGCAAACTCGGGATCAATCTCAACAAGAAAACAAAAAAAATCCAGCAGAAGGTCTCAACCCCCACCTTCTACTCAGGCCCCTAAAGAACCACCCCCAAGGTCGGGCAGCAGCAGCTGAGTGCAGATCCCGGCACCAGCCCGGAGCATCACAGGTCAGGGTGGGAGACAGCAGCACTGCTGCCAGCATCCTGGTTTAGCAAAGGTGACAAGAAGCCACACCACTGTACATGATGCCACGACAGCCTTTTACCTCCAGGCAGCCCGGTTCAAAGAGCAATCCACCGTTTGTGAGCGATGGGACAACTTCGGTCGAGGCGAAAAGGCGGCGGAACCAACCTGGGCTGCGCGCCCTGGCAGTGCCTCTCAAATGCTGCTCTGAAGGGAGCAGAGTAATAAAACATATAATATATAAATAGCGAGCGTCTGACGCCGCTCCATGGCCCGTTTCCACGGGACGAGCCAGCCAGGCTGTTCCCTAAAGGACATCACCCACCCCCAGTGACCTGGAGCAAAGACACCCCCCCATACGCTGCCCCTTATCACCGTCCTGCTGCTCACTAACGAACTGGAAGCACGTGGCTTTCTGCTATCAACGAGATAAAGCACAGCGCAGACCACATCGGGAGCCCAAGCGAGTATTGCACCAGGAGCGGGAGGGAAGGAAGAGGATTTCCAGTCCCCAGGGCCCTCTTGGCCCCAGCGCGCTCTGCCGCGGAGCCCCCGGTACCGGCTCGGGTGGGAAGGACGGCTCCAGGCTGCGAGGCGGCGTCACCGAGCGGCTCACCGGCAAGCCACGCCACGGCAGCGTACGTGGGAGATGAGCTGCGGGGCTTTTGAGATCCCCCTCCTCTGACACACAAGCACAGCTGTGATGGACTTCACACCACCATCCCCAAAACATGCCACACCAGGAACAAGGCTCCTCACCTCCAGGCCCATAAGGGGGGAGAAAGCGTCCAGACTCTCCCCGCGGCGTCACCAGTCGGCTGCCGCGTGCGGCTG